GATGGATGGATGAGTGGATGGATGGATGGATGATGATGGATGGATGGATGATGGATGGATGATGATGGATGGGTGGATGATGGATGGATGATGATGGATGGGTGGATGATGGATGGATGGATGGATGGATGGATGGATGGAGATGGATGGATGGATGGATGGATGGATGGATGGATGATGGATGGATGATGATGGATGATGATGGATGGATGGATGGATGATGATGGATGGATGATGATGGATGGATNATGGATGATGGATGGATGGATGGATGATGATGGATGGATGATGATGGATGGATAGGTAGATGATGATGGATGGATGATGATGGATGGATGGGTGGATGATGATGGATGGATGGGTGGATGATGATGGATGGATGGGTGGGTGAATGGACGATGATGGATGGCTGGGTGAATAAATGAATGCCAGGAATATTATAACCTAACTAACTTGTTACACTAAAATTTTTACTACTTAGCATATTAGGTGACAATAAGCAAATGGTACACAAACACTGAGTACACATCAAACAGGTAAAGAACTTTACAATACTACTAGCCACCTTCTGGCTTCCAGCTCCCAGCACCAAAGCCGACCCATCAAGAATGCAAACAAAGGTGCGTTCGCTAACAGGAAAGGACCAAGCAATTCAGTCTTTTTTCCATCCCTTGCTCACCAGAGGAATGAAGGCAAATAAGTAGTACTGCATGCAGGTGATTCTCGGGACATGGACGCTGGGCCTGCAGGCCAGCAGCACCCTGCATGAAGGCCATGTCGCCCAGCACCCACTGCCAGCAAGAGCCAGCCTCCTTACCTGCTGTCGCCTGGGCTCGGCCCCTGCTCCAGGGCGCCCACAGAGGAGGGAACAGGCCCACCCCCTGCGCTGCTCTCAGCCCTAGAGCCCTGGGAAGGGGGCTCTGGGCCCGCTGGAGCCAAGGTGCTGCCATCAGTGGGCGGGAGTGGCGGCTGGAAAGCAGGGGCTACGTGCTTTCTATTTAGGGTGCCACCCCGCCGGTAGGCCTGGAAGTCCATAAGCTTCACACCAAAGCTACACAGAGAGAAGAAACAGTCAACACACCATGCGAGCCATCCAGACACAGAAGCCCATTGGTCCACGCGTGTTAAAACCCACACACGGTACAGCCACCCAAGTTGCCCAGCATGCAGTGAAGCGGCAAGAACCAGATGGGTGGCCACCCCTATTGCGGAGGCAAGCAACCAACTTGACTTTATTCCCAAGAGAGCCAGGGGGCCTGGTCCTGAGCAGTGTCCTCCTCAATGGCCTGAGCAGCTGACACACATGGGTAGGCCACACCGTGAGTGCGTCCATCACCTGAGCCTGTTTAAGTACCCATTACCACATACAAGCCCATCATCTCAAATCTGAGTGTCAGGGCACACGGGTAAGCTGAGCGCGGAGCCCACCAGAGGCTACCTCCTCCTGGTGCAGATGCGGGGTCTGTGTGTGAAAGGACCCATCTGAAAGCATCAGAATGAAAAACGGTCGCTTTGGGGCAGGACATGGTGGTTGGAGGACAGGGTCAGAGGAAGCCTCACTGTCACTTAAGCCCACTGGTGTATAAACTTTATGGCTGCCTGAGCTTGTGTTTCTGGGGGGAGAATCCCCCAGGCAGATGACTGGGGACTGTAGACTGTGCTGACTAGACTCTAACACTGCACTCTGTAACTTAAACAGCTGAAGGCAGGTTTGCTGCGGCAGTCTGTCATTGGGAAGCATCACTGGGTATGTGAATGGAAAACGTCTACACAATGAACGTGACTGCAGAGGGACAGACTAAAGAAAGAAAAACACTTTCCTTTGCAATGAGTTAAAAAAAAGCGCAACAAAAAACCCCCAAACCTCTCTATAAGACTGGATCACTAAAACAAGAACTTGTGTTTAGTTTTCATGTAAAACTACTGTGAACAACAGCATCACATGTAACACACTGGATAGGCTGGCACAGGAGACAAAAGCCACACTGGTCTTAGCGACTTCTGGAAACCCTACACGTGACCCATGGAGTCTCATACGGACACAAGCTGGCTCACTCTAAGTTCTTCAAGAATCAGAAAATATGGAGGCTCCTCAGCTGAGCATCAGATGCAGTGGTTGGCTTCCACTGAGGGGCCAAGTTATACCACAAATATGCCTCTTTTAAACACCAAATCACACAGCTCACTGCAAGAGGTGGGTTGTCATCACCTCCACTCTTGGACACAAGTTCACAATATTTAACTTTTTTTCTTATTCCCTCTGCCCTCTGGTCAAGTACATTTTGGTGAATCTGTAATGGGAAGATGCCAGTGCCGTGTGGGTGCCACAGACCCACCGGAACAGCGTGAACGCACACAGCACACCTGTGGACGGAAAAGCTGTGTGCCTACTCTATGGCCAGAGCAGGTCTCAATGCCCAGAGCCAAGTTCCCGAAACCACCAGACTCTAGCGTTCCACTCCATGGCGGGCCACTCCTGGCACAGGGCCACCGAGGCAGTACTCGATGAAAGGTTTACCAAGGCCCATCTGAAAGCCGTGGGCTCTAAACACACCTCTCCTTCTTCACCAAGTCCCCTTCCATCACCGCCATGCTGGCAGGGCGCTTCCTTTCCAGGGTCCCCGAGTCAGAGTCATTTCCAGTGTGGGATGAGTGGTTGGAGTTTGGGGGAGCAAGAGGTACGAATGCTTCCGATACATTGAATTCCACCTCTGCAAGGAGGAAAAGGAACACATGAGTAGGAGACACGGGGCAGGGCGGAGACTCCGCCGGAAGAGGGGTTCCCCTCAGTCCGCCGGCCCTCGTTACTTCCTGGGTAGAAGCTGCAGACCCCCTCATCTTCTAAAGGGTGGCTTATTAACGGGGAGGGGGTACGAAGAGCCGGAGATAGGGGAGATGGTACACGGCTCCTCTGTTGTCTTTTTTGTAAACACACACACATGGACATGACAAAAGGACAAGGGTTACTTATTTGAATCATAAAAAGTGGATGTTATTCAGTCTGAGGTAAAACAGAAATAAAAGGCAACATTAACCCCACACTGCCTCAAGCAGCTTTGCATGACTCTTTCTCAAAGGGAACCTTGGGCACAGTACCAAGTGGAACCTCAGGTCTCGAACTTCATCTGTTCTGGAAGGTGGTTCAAAACCAAAGCATTTTTCCCGTTCAAAATAATGCAGCCCGGCCGGCGTGGCTCAGCGGTTGAGCATCGACCTGGGATCCAGGAGATCGGGGTTCGATTCCCAGTACACCAGTTGGGGGTGTACAGGAGGCAGCTGATCAATGACTCTCATCACTGATGTTTCTATCTCTCTCTCTCCCCCTCCTTTCCTCTCTCTGAAATCAATAAGGATATGTTTTAAAAAAGTAAAATAACATAAACTGAATTAACCCGTTCCAGACCCCCAAATGACTGTTTTAAACTTTCTTATATACAATACACGTCTAATGTACTGTTTACTCTACAAACACTTCAAAAACAAAAAGAACATGAAACATAAATGAGAATTTAACATAAAGGAAATAAAATGCACAGTAAAAAAATGAAAATTTAATAAGCAGCAACAAAAGCAAAAAAACCACAAAAATATTCACAGCACAATTTCCTCATGTTAACGTGAGGTTTAGCAGTAACCTGACTCACACTCGCACTCTCTCTCCTTGGTTTGTGGCCTGAGAGACGTGTGACTGATCACACAGCTGTCAGCATGAAGGAGCTGTCAGGCTGAGAAGCAAAATGCTTGAGGTGGGAGATGTTCGAGAAATGAGGTCTGACTGCATTCATTCATTCACTCATCACACATTTACTGAGCAAGTATAGGAGTGAGGTATGAGTCCTGAAGGTGGTGAAGAAAAGACAAGTGTGGCCCTGGCGTCAAGGAGCTCACACTCCAGGGAAATGACAGCAGGGCTGCTCTGGGCAAAGCAGGGACGGGAGGTCCAGACTTGGACCAACCTTCCAACACTTGCCCAACAAGTACCAGAGCCTCTAAGGATCTCAGGGCTGTAACAAACATAATTTGCAAACTGATGGACTACAGCAGGGGTGGGAAATGCCGGGCCCACAGGCCGTATTTGGTCTGGCCCAACCAAGGTATTGCAAGCAGGACTGGAAATTCAATATATCTAGGAGCTTTTTCCATAGTTAATATTTAAGTTGATAATTTTGTATGGCGCTCAAATGATGTTATAAATATCTAAATGCCCTTGGCAGAAAGAAGGCTCCCCACGCTTGGCCTACAAGATGAGCTCCGAATTCTCCGACAGCCAGCTCAGACCTTCAGAAACGGGCCCCCATAACCTTTCCTGCTTTGTCTCCACCTCTGCACAAATCCAGCCACCTGCTTGGAGAAACACAAAGCCTGCATCGAGAAGGAAACTCTTGCCTGCTCAGTGTGGCCTTTCCCATCAAGCAGTCCTTAGTCCCGTTCCCAACATCTGAGTTTGTGAAATCACTGTTTGTCCACCTATCCTAATTTGCCATGCATCACAATTTCTCTGTTTATGCACCTCTTCCAGTGGTACAGTTCCTCCAGAGAAGACAGCAAACACATGGCACCCAGAGGTATTCAGTATACACTGAAAATGAATGGCTGGTGTGAAGTGAAACAAAGTAAAATACAAATAATGTGGTCACCATGATGTCAAAATACAAATGCACATCAACGTCTGGAAAAAAATGTGAGAGAGACACCAACTGCGCAGTCGTGGAGTACCGGCACATCTCCTCCTTTGGAAAGACGTTTACCCTGTTACACTACTGTCATGTTGCTCTAGCAGCCAGTGAAGCAGCAAAGCAGCTTACCTCCAGGAAAGAACCAGTCGGCATGCTGGATGATGGGCTCGATCACCGCGACCACGTGCACGGAGGTGGCGGCTGCCATCTCAGCCAGCGTCCTGCAAGAGCACACAGAGTTCACATACTTCCCGAGCAGCTCTAGTTCCCGCTGGCTGGCTCAGGGCATTCAGTTACTTTCAAAGGATGAAATACTTGAAAATAATGCAGAAGTTAATCCACAAGGCCCTCCCTGTGTGTGTAGGATCCCCCTGACTCAGTCTGCACGGAGACACCCACATGGCTCGGGAGCCTGTGGTCGTGCATCAATGCTGGTCCAACATTGGCTGGGACAGGGCTACGCTTCCCACCAGGATGGTGTTACCCACGGTAGTGACCACCGAGACCCAATGTCACATGCAACAATCCCAACTGTGATAGAACGAAGAACACGGACTGTGACAGCGTCCCTTTGTCATGTCAGAAAACCAGAGCCCTCATTTACACGTATTACGAAGTTGTTATATGTATGAACTGGTCTCAAGATGCAAGTTCACTAGCTGAAAGTGTCTAGATGCCAGGGCCAAAAGAAACTAAATGGGAATCGTCATCCCTGCTGTCCAGCCTGTACCCCAGTTTGGGGTCAGAAGTCATGAAAGCAAACAAGGTGCAAAGGCCAATCATTCATTGATGGCCCACCGTGTGCCAGGGCTTCTGGTTCTTTACCTCGTTTAAGTCATTTTTTTCAACACGGGACTGTTATGTTTTACTACATCATGTTAGTTTATTTTATCAAAGATGCTGTACTCCCAAGAAGCTGGGTCCCAGGTCTGGCTGCCCCAAACCTATTATCACTCTGACCTCTCTTCCCCCCTGGGATGAGTATTTTCACTCCAATTTCCAACCAGGCCAACGTTCCAGCTCCTTTCAAATTCTAGCTTACAAGGCAAGCTCTGCCTGCCAGTCTCCTTCAACGGGGACTCGGATGGCACATGCCCCAGGATACCACTGGCTAGAGAGTGGCTGCTGCCTGCGCACTGATCCACAGGACTCTACTTATTCCGGGTGTTTCCAGAGCAACTCCTTCCTACTTTGTAAACTGTCATTAGTTTAAGGAGCTTTCTGACATACAGAAGTTTCTAGCTATTACAGCCAAATCTATCAATTTTTGAATTTGTTTCTTACACTGCTTTTGTTTGAAGAATTCTTCTATCTCAAAAGCTAATAAATATTTACCTTTATGGCAACACTTTTTGCTTTTAACTCTATGCTCTACCTGGAACTTATCTGCTATAAGATACAATGTATGTAGTTAACTTTATGTACGTACTTGTCTTTCACTTTGCTTTATATCAGACCTTCACAAATAATCTTATAAACACTTTCTGAAAAAAGACAGGGCACACATGAGTAAATGAGCGAATGAAAGAAACAAAGGCTTGGATTCGGAAAGTCACTGCACTTAGTTGTTGCTGTTAATCCTCACCTGAGGACTTTTTTCCATTGATTTTTTTACAGTGGAAGAGAGGGAGGGAAAGAGAAACATCGATGTGAAAGAGGCATACTGACTGGTTGCCTCCTGCAGGTGCCCCGGCCGGGGACAGGGATTGAGCCTGCAACTGAGGCACATGCCCTTGGCCGGAATCACACCCGGGACCCTTCAATCTGTGGGCTGATGCTCTAAGCACTGAGCAACTTGGGTTGGCTAGGGTGTCACTGCATTTTTTAATGCAAACTTGAACCACCTGTGATTTTATGAAGCTGAGCAGCAGTGATGGGAGGCAGGGAAGGGTGGTAAAGCTTAGGGACACAGGCTGTACCAGCATCTGGACTCCACCATTTCCCTGTTGCGCAACCTTAACCAAAGTACTTGTCCTCTCTAAGCTTCAGACGCATCTGTAAAAACAAGTACAGTAGTACTCACTTCAAAGGTTCCCTGAAGATTAAGTTAGGCCTAGTAGCGCCACCACCAGAGTGAGCACCAACACTAGCGATTTCCAGAAGCTTTCTAAGCCATCCCCGCGTCCCTTCCCTTACTCAATCCATGCTTCTCAGTGCCAGCAAAACTGCCCTTCTAAACGCAATCTGATCAAGTCATTCTGCTTAGAACTCTCATGCCCACCCTCCCCACATGACCCATAAAGTAAGTTCCAAACACCCCAGCAAGATATGCGAGGCCCTGGCTTCACTAACCTCAGTCACAGTCTTGTGCCCCCGGTGCTCATTATACAAAAGCACACAACACCCCTACACGAGAGACCTGGCACTTTCACGCCTGCAACACCTTTGCTCCTTTGGGTCCCATCTATAGGGAGCTATTTATCCAGGTTCAGCTCCAGTGCCTGCCACTTCCTGTGCAGAGCTCTCCCTGAACTTCTCAGCCTGAATCACGTCCCTCCAAGAAGCACCAGTGCCATCATACTTGGTAATGTCTGTAGTAATCTGCACACACAGGTGTGCGGGGAGCTTATCCCTGTAGTGCAGCTACTCATCTACCCAACTGCCTGGGAGCGGGGCCCTCTGAGGACTGGGACGATGTCTCCCACATCGTGTGTGGCCAGATCTGGGACAGGGCCCAGCTCACAGCAGGGTTTCAAGAATGTCAGCTACATGGAAAGATCAACTTCAGAACACACATAAGTTCATCTGACACTGGAATGTGTGTCTCCCTGCCAGGTGAAAAGAAGAAATGAAAATAATATGATATGGGGAAAGGTTACTTACCCTTCATTTTTGGCCCATAACAAGTTAGGGCCTAATACAATGGCAATGTTGCTGGGAGTCATTTTATTAATGTCACTGGTCTGAGCAAGCTTTGCAAGGAACTTGATTAAATACCTATGGAACAAAAGAAAAGGGGAAGAGCATCTACTCTGAAATGTTTGCAGGAATATTATCATCCAGCCCAGGTTCCCAGGCCCAGGTTGCTCAGGATGCGACTAACTCAGAATCTAACTCAGGTTAAACATTTTATACATTTTTCCGTGTTCTTTGTTTCAGAGAACAGAGAAAGTTAGGGCTTGGAGAGGAAAGCAGCTCAAAGGTCAGCCGCAGTGACTCAACCTCTATTTGCTGTACATTTCTAATCCATGTCTCTTTTATATGCTACCTATCTATTCTACCCCTAAATAAATCACAGTGTGACTCACAGTGGGCTCAATATACACATAGTAAAAACAAACTCAGTAAAACAAAAACAGCAGCACAAACAAACATAGTGAAGACAGAAGTGTAGGTATATTGCTTAAAAGAAACTGTATTTGACAATGCTTCATGTTGTAATTATAGAAGTATCCAATTTATCATATAAATGTACTCTCTGGAACTAAAAAATAAAAATAATTAAGAATAACCCAGCCCAGCCTGCGTGGCTCAGCAGGTGAGCATCAACCTATGATCCAGGAGATCGCAGTTCGATTCCCAGTCAGAGCACATGCCCTGACTAGGATGTGGGCTCGATCCCCAGTGGGGGGGAGCATGCAGGAGGCAGCCGATCAATGACTGACTCTCTCATCATTGATGTTTCTATGTCTCCCTCTCCCTACCTCTCTGAAACAAAGATATAGTTAATTAAGAAGAAAAAGAATAACTCAACTATTTACCAATAGGGGGCTAGTCAGATAAATGACAATACATCCACACAATGGAGCACTATGACGCCATGAAAAATTACTATGTACTGATGTGGAAAAGTCTCCAAGATGTATATTAAGCAAAAAAAAGCAAGGAAGAGAATGACGTATACAATATATGCTATCATTCGGTTTTGAAAAAAAGTGGGGGCTATGAGAGAAAAATATACGTACATATGTATGCATGTACCTGCTTACACATGCACCGACTCTCACTGAGAGGCTATGCGAGAAACCAAAACCAGTGTTTGTCTCAGGAGGGGAACGAGGTGGCTGAGGGATAGGAACAAAGAGAGATTTTTCAATGTATACTTTCTGAATCCTGAACCACGGAAATGTACTCCTTACGCAAAAGACAATTGGCAAAAATTATAAAGAGTAAAATAAAAGGCCAGATCCCAAAGTACCAAGAACCAGGACTCAGTTCCTACCATCAGACACTGAAATGTTAAGAGTATCTGCAACACCAAGCTGGATGTGCTACATGAGCCAGTGGGAGACGTTACAAAGACAGACATTCTCAGAAGGCAAGGGTGAGACTTATGGTACAGAAAGGGACCATTTCATCAGCTTAGCGGCAGAGCCCAGGACTGAACAACAGGTTAGGTTATGTGCCAGGCATTTCACCAGCAAAGTCTGTGCCATTTGGACCATGTCCTCTGACAAAATAGTATTTGATTTTAAACAACTTCATTGCTAACAGCCACCCTTTCCCCTTCTCTCCATGCTTCTTTGAGGCCACATTTTAAGTTAGAAGGAAAATAGAGGTTAAATTCCAGAAACTTATCCTATGGTAAATTTTGTTAGAAACATAGTTATTCCATAAAGTAATATACAATGTCCATTTCTTGAAATTTTACTTAGGATGATTTATGTTCTATTTAAAATTAATGATGTAGCATATTTGAAAGATATTATGGAAAGTAAAGCTATTGATTAATTTTTACTTTTTACATACAATTTAGTCTCCAAATCCCACATAGTCAACCAAACTTTTCACAGACTTTTCACCAGTGGCAACACTGGTGGAACGACGGGGCAGCTTACTTACGAATGCCGCATGCTTCGGGGACCACAGTAACGTACTGTCAGATTCCGTTTTCCAGCATGCCTGTGTGTGCGAGCCTGCTCAAATTAAACTGCCCCTCTGCTGAGGTTAAGCCTATTTCACTCTCGTGCCACGGTAGCTTGCTGGCTTTATTCACAGTGTGTCAATCATACATACCTAAAGTTAACAAAATTGTGCGGTGGCAACTTCTGACATATCCGCCATAAATCTTGAAGTTTTTTGTCTTGATCCTGCACACTAAGAAAAAAATTCAATCCATAACCACATTTAAAACTCATATTAGTAATCCTGTGTTCATACCCAACATTAACAGTGATGGCTCCATTGACGGAGAGAGCAAATAGATTTGGAGTCAAATACCAACAACTTAACTGAGCAGTTCACTAACCTTCCCAAGACACTCTCCTGCTGTGCAAAACTGGAGTAGAAGGCTGAATCTGCCACGTGACTGTGAGGTTTCAGAGGTATAACTATGTGCAACCGCCTAGACCAACCAGAGACTGGCACACAGGAGGCAAGGCACCACTGAAAACTGTCTAGGGCGTATGTGTCCAGGGAGGGCTTCATGGAGCCCAGATCTCATCCTAAAGGGGGTGTGGCACAGGTGGGCCCCACACTCCCAGATCCCGGCTTCCCCTCAATCCTGCTCCAAGGCTCAAGGCCACTTCGACTGTGAAGCAATCACAGGAGCGCTCCTGCTATACAACTCAATGTGAAAACTTTCACAGACACAAAAGGGCCAGACTGCAGCATGCAGAGCAGCGCCCACTCTGCTCACCAGCAGGAGACAGCATCAGAAGTTATCAATACGCCCTGGAACTTAAAACGTCCTCCACAGCTGAGCCAGTCTGGAGAGTTTATGGGCACAGATTAAACTCCAGAGGTCAGTCAATGTATCACTGGGATGGACTGGAGGCCTATGTTGATAATTCTCAGGCACACAATCAACACACCAAAAGACACCTTGAGAAGGTCATTTCCTCACAAGGATGAGTGTGAGAGTCTCAGAGCAGAGAGAACAGCCAAGGTTCAGGAGGCTGAAGCAGCTACCCAATAAAAGAAACCCTTGAGCTCTCCCTACCTGGCAGTGTCAGGTTCTGTTATCCAGTCCCACAAACAGATGCTCACATCAGGCTGAGCCCCATGGGGGTTCCAAGGAGACAACCATGACTAAGGACGCTCTGACTTTAAAATTCTCACCATCTACCAGAGACAAAGTCTCGCTCCACAGCGACAGAGAGGAAACAAGCTCAAATGTAAATACCTGGTGAAAGTGACTAGGGGTGATCTCATATCCCCTGAACTGTAAATGGCTTATTTCTAAGGGAGCAGTGACAGTGTCTGAGGATAGGGGAAGGAGACAGAAGGGGAGGGGAGGAATTAGGCAACTTTAAGAGGAATGGATGTGAGAACAGGAGGCAGGCTGGCCAGCCAGGAGAAGTCTCTAGGACTTTTCAAAGTCGTCTGCTCTGCTTAAGACCTGGGGATGGAGGGACAAGATGAAGAATGGGGAGCACGGTCTTTGGGTCATGCAGTTTCCTCATCTGTAGAACGACCACAGCAACAACGTCTGCTGTTTAGGTTATTAGCTATGGATTACAGGGACAACAGGCATAAGACCAGCACAGTACTCAGAGCACAGTAAATGCCCAGTCAGCATTCACGATTACTACAAGCATGTCAGCATTATATCGCACACCTGTTTCCACACAGCTAATGTGCCGGCACAACACTTGTCCCGTGACAAGACCTTCTTCAATGTAAAGGGGGTTTAATGGGTCAGCTGATCCATCATGTGGGAACTACTGCATGTCTTCACCACTTAAATGACACACATTTAAAAGCCAACACACAAGTGGTGACCTCCCTGAACTAATACAATACTCAGTATCCTCACCCTGAACATCAGAACCGAGGCACAGATTACTTAACAAATATGCTATTTTAATGTTCCTTTCTCATCCAGGAGAGTAAGACAACTTACGCATGGGACAAATGTTACATCACCTCCTTTAGCTTTTGAAACTCATTGTTCCCTAAACTTACCTGGCAACTTGTGTCCATTCTTCATACAGATGAAAGGTCATCAAGGGTTCGGGCAGCTCCCGTAAGTAGGACTTCAAAGCACCTGAAATCAGGAACACTTCCTTTGAGGATGAAGGGGAGCTGGGACTCCCAGGATATACTATTTTGCAAACTGAAATGATCTCAATTACGACCTTCCAAACACATAGAACAAATCATGACTCAGTGGGAGTGAAAATAAAATGCTCCTAAAACAACTTCTGTCCCTTGCAACAGACAGGGCGGGGCAAAAGCAGGTTTATTAGTTGCTCATATGAAAAATAATACAATAATTAATAAATAACACAGTAGACTGTTTCGCCTCCTCACAACTGTAAACCTACTTGTGCCCCACCCTGTACACTGAGAGATCAACAGAAAATCAAACCAGCTTCCAAGTCACCTTCTCAACAGACATCACTTTCCGCTGGTCAGGATGCTGGAGGTGGAAGACGGGAAGGAAATATACGCACATCTCCAAATATATAGACTATAAGCCACTTTCACCTTTACGTAATCATCAGGGAAAAAATGAACAGGAATAGAAAAGGTTTCTGTGTGTGTGTGTGTATCCACTTTTCCCGTTTTGTCACTTAAACCTAGAAGGAGACCACTTCACGTAAAACTAGAATCAACCCTGGTAAATTGGGATCTAAGGCAGGACTTACCCACCACCTGGAGTGCACTCCCCAGAGCTCACCTGCTACAGCATGGGGGTCTGAATAAAACTCATCCAGGTGGGAAGTAGAGCAGTCTAAAGCAGCTTTCAGCTTCTTTAACCTGGAGGCCCCTGCTGCAATTCGGAAAAGGCCCTAGAGACAATGAGAAGCCATTAGCATCAAGTTCATGTTGTGAGCCTGACACTGGGAAGCCTGAGAAAGGTGTGGAAGTGCCCCCGCCCAGCCCCAAGGCCAACACACCTCATCTGCAAGAGTGGTCACACTGCCTACCCAGTGGCCTTTGCCCCACCTCATTGCTAAGGTGCCCATTAGAAATCCACTTAAAAGCAATATTTTATACTTCCACAAGGGTGATACTATCGATTTTTTAAATTTAGGAGTATTTTTAAATGGACGCAAGAAAAATTGTTATCCTCAACTGCTAGTCTCTTTCACTGCCTTAAATATTACTTAGACGGAAAAACACACGAAGGGCCAATAAGCAAGGCAGGACTATGATGACATGGGCCAGGAGTTATATAAGGCTTGGGTTTTAAGCAAAAGTAACCTAGTCCAGGTTTCTCAACTTCAGCAGTACTGACAGTTGGGCCGGATGATTCTGTGCTGCGGGCCCATCCTGTGCACTGTAGGCTGTTAAGCAGCGTCCCTGGTCTCCACTCTCTGATGACAGTGCCAACTCCCCTCGCCTCACCAAGTTGTGACAATCAAAACTGTCTCTAGACTTTGCCAAATGTCTCCTGAGGGGGAGAGTTGGCCCTGGAGAGTTAGCACTGATCTAGGCTATTAGAAGTTGGGTTCCCGTCCTTTGGGGAATAGGTGGTAACTGGGCCAAACACAGTGAGCGCCCCTGGGGTGTTGCTGATTACAGGGATATTCATTTTGTGAGACTTTATCAAGCTGTTCACTTACGATGCATACACTTTCTGTATGTCCATTTCACTTCAGTAAAGTTTTTGGAAGGAAAACAGACGTGTTTAGATTCTGGCTCGGCCACACGTGAACTCCCTGTGCACTGAATTCCTATCTACACAAGAGGAGCCAAGAGACTGGCCCTGCTGGGTTCAAGAGGTTTCTTGGGAAAATAAAGGATATAAACGTGCCCCTGCCCCTGGCCACACGAATGTAACACGCACTATAAAAACTGAAGCTCGCAGAGGCTCTGGTCCCTCTGAGGGCCCTGACACTCTCACAGCACAGCCAGAGGCTGAATGGAACAATCAGACAGGGCAAAAGCTGCAGGGAGGGGCAGTAAGAGCTGTCCATGGAAAGGGCAGCCCATTCACTGTGTCTGTGATGGTGAGGTGGGTAACGTTGGAGGCTGCTGTGCCACACGCCTCCTCCCCAGCAGGGCGGTGTGGCACCGTAGGTGTGGCCCGGAGGCTGGCCACTCACCTCCTCCTTCATGCCCGTCTCCAGTAGCAGCATCACACAGGCCTCGATGGGCAGCGCGATCTCACGGCCACTCCGCTTCAGGTGCTCCTCCAATGCAGTCCCAAAGGCCGGCTTCTCCGCCCACTTATCTAGAGCAGCAAACCGTCAGTAAGACCCGACACCCCGGTCGCACCACCCATGTCCTGCCTCCCCCAAGTTGCCACAGGGGTGGTTTTTAGCAGACTGGCAGCTGGGGCTTTGGGATAGGGGCACATCTGTTCCACTCACATCTGTTGTCTCTCACTTATTAGAGCATAAAAATGCAACAGGCTGGAAGGGGATTTGTGGGGCAGAAGCCTGGAACTGCCTATGTGGCATTCAGTGGCAAGTGCCTGGGAGAGGAGAAAGGCACTCCCACACCCAGCTCCATGTCTACACTGACACACAACAGGTGGGCAGCATTGGCTAGAACGAGGATTCATAGAACACACCGTTTTCACAAAAAAGAAATTTATTCTAGCCATGAGTTAAAAAAAAAAAGGCACCAGCTTCATCTAGAAGACAAGAAATCGACTGAAAAAGGAATGACATCTTAAAATTTTAAACACTAGCCACGCATCATCATACAGGACTGGAGAGGCCAGCGTAAACGCAGGTACAGCAACCCCGTGACGGGCAGTGCTTCCCAACACCGTAGCCAACAGCCCAAACCCACCGGTAGGAAAGAACGCGGCACCTGCAGCCCCACAGCGGTGAGGCCCGAAGCTGTGCCGATAGCACAAAGGCAATTTTTACATTATTTCAGGTCACAGGCTCTGCTTCGGACCACAAACAATTTGAGGCAGCACAGCAGAAACACATACAGTCAAGCAGGAAAACAGACACGAGACTTTAGGAAGGGCTGCAGGAAGTCAGCCTGGAAGAGTGGTTGGGTGTGGCCTGTGGATGCGGGACCTAGTGCTGTATGAGCAGCATGGAGGGAAATCAGCTGGGAGACCTACCCTGAGGAGCACTTGGTTCTCCCAGTGACAGGGAGGGCGCCCACCCTTCTCCTACCGCCAACAGGCACTTGCCCTCCAGCCACTATGCTGTTCTTATCTTGGACCAAGGCCCGCAGTGCTCTGTCTCCTCTTGTGCTCACCACAGGTAAGCGCAGGTACAGGCTCATTGCATGAGCCACACGTAGGGGAGGGAAAAGAGTGAGACCCCACCCACAAACCCATGGACCTAAGCACCTGTGAGAAGCGGGCAGGGGCTGAAGAGCAAGGTGAAGGAGGGGCAGTGGAGAGGACCAGTGAGCAGCCACTCTGAGAAGTGCCGGGAGCCCTGTCTCTGGTGCGCCCCAGCCAGTGGAATTCCTAAGAAAGCAAGCAGCAGGGGCCTGGCCTTCTCAGACACAGCTCTGGGACGGCCCCGTAGAGGCCAGATCTTACTTTGAATACTTTGTCCCTTTTATCTAAAGCCATGATTCTTGACTCAGGCAGAGCTCGGCCACCTGACCCTTCCCTGGGGGGACACATCAGAATCACCCAGGGAAGTGGGCCAATGGCACCTGCCATCACCTCCATTGCTGCCCGCCCTGCGAGGCTGAGAGGCAGCACGCTCCGAGCTCTAGGGCAACTTTCTAGTAAACTCTGTGTACTCCCCACCCTGCTGACATGGAAGCACCACTACCCTAGACAGCTCCTGGGGCAAACTCCACCACAGTTGCTGGCCTCTCAAACAACACACCTACTATGTGCCTGGCCCTGCACAGCACCCGTGCTCACAGAGCCTCCCACCCTCACTGAAGAAAATACAGGACATACATGTGAACACACACCAGCACGAACAAGACAAGACATGTTTGCTGTCAGGGCAGAAAGACAGTGTAGATAAGGGTCACAAGCCCAGTGTCTACAGGGGTGAGGTGGGCCCCACCCTGTCAGGGCTCAATCAGGGAGGAAGCACAGGGTCTCCCAAAAGGCCGCAGCTGCCCCTCGGAGCCACACGGATGCTGCAACACGGGAAAGCAAACCTTGGGTCACAAAGCTTCTGAACTTCCAAGGGAAGCCAGAAGTTAGGATTGTTATGGGAAAGAGTCTGGTATTTAAATGATGGAACTAGTTAAAAAAATTTTTCTAATGAAATGTGGCAGTCTGCAACTTCCGGTGTAGACCACGAATGCAAGAGCAATTCAGGAGATGGGGTTCACTGTTGGCTTCAGTGGTCAGAGAAGGCATCTTGAAGAAGAGCTTGTGGGGTCTCAGAAGACAGACAAGATTAAATAGACAGAGAAGACAGGCTGAGAAAGACCAGGAGCTTGACTCTGGGGATTCACAAGTCATCCCACGGCTCATGCACAAGGCAACAAGGGCACAGAGCAAGAGCAACAGTGGGAGTGGAGAGGAAGGCACCGCGAAGGCAACAGCTAGAGCTGACTGCGGGGACGAGAGGAGGAGGTGCTCCCACGACCTCAAGCGGGACTGCCTGGAGTGACTGGGAGTAGAAACCAGACAGCAAAGTGTCCCCGGGGTAGGAGGGAGGTAAGAAGAGGCAGGTGGCAGGTGGAGACGAGTCATTCGAAGAGCCCAGAGGAAAAGGAGGGACAAAGTCTGTGAACAAAGGCTGGCAGATGTGGCATGAGATGGGGGCTCGCAGGGGCCTGGGGCAGGAGCCAAGTCTTTCTGTCTGTCCTAAGTACACCCTGGATCTTTCTGAAGACAGAGAGGCAGGACCAAGACGAGAGGCAGATACAAGGACGGGTGGAGGTGGAAAGGGCTCGGTTCCAAGGCTAGGGTGAAGGTAGCGATCTCAGAAAGGGGGAAAAGTGGACCCTGCTCCCTTCACTGCTGCCCCCCAAAGCTGCTTTCCTCATTCCACCTCAACCCCCCTTCCCTACCCGCTCCCTCCTCCCCGTGACTTTCTGATATACTTCTCTAGGGTAAATAGACTTGGGAGAAAAACAGAATGAAAGTAGGGAAAAAAAGGACTTCTAAATAAATCTTCCCTTTTTTGTGCTTGTCAATCGACTCTTCCAAACCAGGCCTAAAGCCCTGCAAAGGCTAAAATGACATTTTCTATTTGGTCCTCTGCAGGGCCCTGCACACAGCAGGTGTCCCATGAACATGCTCTTTGCTGGGCACTTGTCCTACAAGCCTGCCCAAGCGAGGCTGAATACTCACCAGCAGTTCCTTTCCTCTGCACCCTGACTCCAGCCCGTGATGCAGGAACTAGGAAATGGGACCCCCCAGAAGAGCAAGGGCAGCTCATCCTGTGCAGAACGGCCAGGCCAAGCAGTCACACCACACTCGAGACTCCTCAAGATCAGATTCAGCGGCCATCAGGGTACAGGATGCCCAATTCCATAGTCTAAAAACTTTCAGCCACAAAGCCCATCTGCTGGGGCCTCCTAACATTCAATGAAGTGACACTCCTGAGGGTGCCCAAGTGTGTGCATACCCGCAATACACACCCCTGCCCACACTTGCTCACACTGTCTGCCACAGGAACCACACCCAGCACTTGGCTTCATCCTTTCAGCTCAAGACCACTGATTTTGTAGGGAGAACCTATGCTCCAAATGTTGGGTCTATACCTCAAGCAAAACAGAAAAATAGGTCCAAAGAAGGCACAGCAATTTCTGCCTCAGCAATGCCCGCCGACATCTCTGCTGCTAAGTGCTCTGACAGTAGAGAATTAGAACCAAGATTTTTAATTTTCAAATAAAACTATCAAAGGAAACATCCACTCATAATGGTGGGTAGAATCTGCAATATGCCTGAATGGGGGGAAATACCAGTGCAGATAAGCACAAGAGCCTGTGTCCAGACAAGGAGGTGGCCTGAATGGTGTGGCAATGGTCCTACAACTTGATCACTGATAGGTGCCTGATGACAGAGCACAAGGACTGGCTTCTAAAATTCCGTCTGCAAAGTCCAGACCATGTTCCCTAGAATGCATGCTCACGAAGTCACAGGGCCAGAATCAAGCCCGTGGGACAAATAACTGATGTGGGAAAAGATCACTAGAGGCTAGAATTTTTCCAGCCTATTTTTCCAGAGAAAAACAAACCGGACTCCCCCAAAGGGCCCAGCTTTCTCTTCAACTGGAGATTCCAGAAGCTTAAATGTTCCATTAGTACGTTAATTGGGTGTGGAAGAAATTAGAGAACGCAGGAAGGGAAGATGAAGAGCCGGGCAGTGGGCACCTCCACGGCAGAGGCTGCACCACAGGAAGTGCATGCAGAGGGCATGGTGAAGGGCAGAGGCAGAGGTGGCAGAGGCAGAGGCAGCCAGCACGCAGGTTACGTTACCTTGATGGGCTTGCATTTCGGGAAGGGCCTTTTCTAAGACTGCTAATGCTTTTCTATGGTAATCTGCTTGGGCTTCTAATAACTGAGAACAGACCCACATCCAAAAACAAAAGTAATGTTAGCACTGATGGACACACACACAATGGCTGAGCAAAACTAAAAATAAAATCTTTTGCAAAAAAAGCATCAACAACAATTTTTACAACACTCTAACATTCTGTCAGGGCCAAGTGCTTACCATGACAAAGAATTTGCTGTACTCCCCTTCTTTGGCCATGAAGCTGTACATGTCTGCTGCCAGCTGATCCTGGGTAAGAGACGACAGGTCACTGAGAAAACAGAGCTGAGAGAAACGGCCTCTGGAATTAACCTCTGGGAGCTCCTAGTGCTACGTGGGGTGGAAACAGCGCAGACGGATCATCCATCAGCTGACGTACAACTCGGTGTGGGGACAACAGAAACGAATGAGAAAGCCTGTCACAGGTGGACAGGGAAAGGCCTCCAGGGCACGCTGCTCAAGCACCAGGTTAGGGGGCGAGGAGAGAGCCCCACCTATACATTACTCCCATAAAAAAAGGAGGAAAAAGTGTTACATTTTTATTGCCATCATTACGTAAACACATCTCTAAAGAAAAAAAAGAAAATTAGAGACAGTGGCTACCTGTTGGGGGCAGTGGAAATCAGGGAGGACGACAAGCGCGCAAGAAAAACTACTGCATGCTGTTTTATACTTTTGATGTTTAACTAACATAAATGAATTACATAAAAGTTAAAAAGTTTTTAAAAAAGTGATAGATTAGGCAACTGGATATACATATATACGGCCAACTTTCATATATGCACACATTAGAATTTCATATATATATATATTTAATATACTGCCTTCCATTTTCAGCATCAAGGTGCACAAAATTATATGAAGGCCCCTTGTTTATTTTTTTAAAAAAATCTGAAAATGCTAGTTAGGATTAACAGACTTTCTTTTAGAACTGGTAAAGTAACAAAGTAAATTCATGGATCCCCACCCCACCCCCCAAAAAAGAGAAAGAAAAAGACAAAAGCAGAGAGTATGGAAGGAGTTATTCA